AGCAAGATATGGGAAAGACACAGGAGCGATCCAGTTCCATGTGAATAAATCACCAGAGGCACACCAGGATAAAGTTCTGTATGAATGCGATCAATGATACATTCGATGTCGTCAAAAAGAGCATCGACACTAGGTGCATAGCCACGTTCGCCATCCGAGAGACCATGGCCTCGCAAGTCAAAACCAACAAAGGCAATATGCTGAACATTAAAAAAGTGAGCTACATGCTTGTAGCGTTGACAATGTTCACCTGATCCATGCACAATTAATACGACAGCGCGACATTCGCCATTTGCTACTGGCCAATTCCGTCCGTTTAGACGAAGTTTATCATTTGGAGAATAAAAAACAAAAGTTTCACCATCACTGTTATCATAGATTTCATGGTTCAAAACGTCTTCGTTCATCTATTCTTTTTATCTAGAGAATATACAACGAATATATGTACTTTTCGAGGTTGAAATTATAGAATAATGGGAACAAGGAAGTATCTCAGTGAAAACTCAAGAAATATTTTTCAAAGGAGTACAACTGAGATCTTTGAAAGGATATTGACCTATCTGCGTTACAATGCAGCAAATTTAACTATACAGAAGCTGGTGGTAAAATTACAATGACAGTTCTAGAAAGATATTGCATGATCCTGATAAGTATCAGCATTTTCTTAATACAATATTAACATTAATGCTCAAACATTAAATTGTTTTTTCTTACCACTAATGCTGTGCCAATACCCCTAGAGGTAGCAAATTAGATCTATGTCGGGTTAATCTATCGTAATTAAATATTTATTCATCTATAACACTATTTTTTCACGGATGAAATATTCTGTTAGGTATATGCTCAGCTAAAGCAAATAAGAAAATGACCTTCTTATTTTCTTTTCGAACAAGAAGTTATAATTTTTGGGTATTGATTTTGTATTACCTTCAATAAATTTCAGTACGAACCGTTTAACATAATATTTAAAAATAGACGAGTATTTTTCAGTACGATTAACGATTGTTCTTGAAAGAGCTTTATGACTGTATGTGATAAAAAGAAGTATGCAATCACGATCGTAAAATACTGAAAAATGATGTGAAGTAATCAACATTTTATTTCTCTCTGCTATCGATTCTTTTCAACTTTGAAAGAAAGAATTGTGCACTGAATAAATGTCGCAATATATCGTAAGGAAGAGAACGATGAATAATTTTTTTGGAAAGAAGAAGTTAAACTAATCGATATTTTTTCTACGCAATAGGGCTTGGGTTTTTTCCAACTCTTCGATTTCTTTCCAATATAAAAAAATTTAGAAACAAATCACATCATCATACAATCGCAGCTAGAAACTCAAATGTGAGTAATTTGATCTAATTTCATTTTAAGCATAAGCTTGACTCTAATAACTAACTAGAGAAGACTTTGAAAACAATCCCTTTGAATGTATTAATCACGGTTGTCATGTGAATGTCTTCATATCTATTGAAAATCTATCAGAGGTTGCATGAAAACGCTTCTAATGATAATTCTTGCATCTAGGAAAATACCTAAATTTTTTTTCCCATAAACTTCTTGAGTCTTGGGTAAATAGGAAGGAACCTTCTTATACTCATTATGTGTTAAAAATATTCTGATAACTCTCGATGCGTTGTGCTAGTTTCTGAGAAACTAATTACACTACAAAGACATGTGTAACTTATTTTAAATGACCATAATCTGGGTATGGGCGTTTGTGTGAATGTTTAAATGAGAACCGCGATTAGTGCGTTAAAACACGTTTTTTTTTCAATTCTTGTTTGCTTGAATAGGCAAGCCTGGCTCATACAACTCTACTATAAGTAAGGGAATATTGTGAAGAATTACTGTAAAGAATGATTTCATGGATATAGATTCACTACTTATCAATCTGGTCTTGTCAAACATTCTTTGCCAGTCAATCAAGATGGGACTGCTGCGTTTAGTTACAGCGAGAAGGGTTCCAAGATTGACGGGCAACCGACAATAGTTTTTGTTCATGGACTATCGTCAAACAAAGAAACATGGCTTCCAATCGTCAGGGTCAGTTCACAAACATATTTTTTGTTCCCTTTTGGTTTTTGCCATTTTATTGTAACACTCGTAAGTGCTTACAACAAAAATCAGAGAAATGAAAAGAAAAGAAGGAAATAAAAGAAATAGAGAGGAGGATGAAGGAGACAGAGGTACAATGTAACAAAGGAGATATTATCAGCAAGAAGAGTAACAATTAGCTACTAGGATAAGGGTTAGTAAATAGAAAGGGCGCTAGAGGATCTAAGAGGAGTATTCATACCTTCCTACTTTTTAGTATTATCGTGCCCAATAAAAGCAAGTCAATCTAGAACAAGGTAACGATGTTTTATCTTTAGACGCGTTACTCTTTGCAAAGTAAACAGATATCCAACTCCACCATTAGGTTGCTTATGGGAGTATTCCCAAAAGAAAATATCTTCAAGAAATAAGGAGGATCCTAAATCGGATGAGTACAATTTTTTTAATCCGTTTGTTATATAGCGTTTGACATAGTTATCAAGCGGTTTTTCTCCGATAAAGGTGAAGAAATCTGCAATGCAACCGAAGGGAGCACGATGAATTAAACGCATAGTAGCTCTAAACTTTCTTCGAAGTGCTTCTTGGTGCGTTATTGGAAGTTTAGAAAAAAGGAAAGTATCAGGCGAAGTGACGGAATGCATGTGCAAAGAAACATCTTCTCAAAACATCTTTTGCTAAGGTCTTGCCACGATGGAGGCACTTCAACGTATATAATGGTCTTTGGATATTTTCGAGCATTCTGAATATCGTGCGTCTCAATGAGAGTTTACTCGTTCAAATGAAACTAAGATCCTTGGATAAGTCTACAATGGTGTTTTTCTGTCCTAGCATATGTATGTCGACAGTGGGCTTTCTCACTTGGGAGTAGAAGAGTTGTGCGGCAGTTTTGCTAACGTTGATTGACTGCTTCTGAAGATGTGAACAGTCGGCTATCTTGTTGCGCACATTATTTCCTTCAGCCTCCAAGTATTTGACCAGAGACGAGAAGCAGTTTTGAAAAGTGGCTCGAATGAGCACACTCAGATCTTCAGCAAAAAGATGATCTGAATGGGGGCTCCCAGACAGCTTATTAAATCGCTATGGTATACTACGAAAATATAGGAACTAAGGCTACTGCCTTGTGGAAGATTGACTTGTACCTAAAAGTCTTCCGATTTGCATTGGTCATAATAGACATACGCTATACGATTGCTTAGTCAAAAGTCAAAGGCCTTTTCATAATCAACATAAATTGAAAGGGTTGGAACTTAAGCAGCTAGATTATTCTGCACTTCTCGAGAAATTCAGAGAGCCCTTGTTTGAAGGAGACAGTTCGTTCTAAAACTAGATTGTTCAAGAGGCACTAAACGGTTACCTTCTGCCCATTACAAATACATATTAGTATTCTAATTGAGTCATGCAAACATTAAGTAACAGGAAATAGAATGGATAATGTCTTACTCGTGTTGAATGTGTTCTCAAAAATCATCTTACATACTTGAATACTCTTTCATACATCTAGCGAAGTCATGCAAAGGTCTGTAAATTAATTCGTGAGATTTTTATTAAACATAAGACTGAATTTAAGCACACTTCTTCAAAGTAATGCGAGATTGAACATAAAATGAACAAAATTATAAATCAGTACTTGTATTCTATGCGAATGAGTTCATACACTAGATCATCAAAACGGTTTAAGATCGATAAAATGTCGACACTTACGAAGAAAATAACTGTCAATCTAATAATAGTTACCTTTTATCTTGTAATTTTTCTTTGTTGATGGTCATCATTCGAAGTTTACAAAAACCCTTTGGTCTCTGATCACCAGGTGCATGTGTGTACCTTTAACCAGACAATATCGGAAATTGAGTATTATTTCAGTACATGTTTGTATATTACCTTTTCATCAAATGCATTTTAGCCATGACAAAAGATTACTTTGTATGTGAAACTATTTAAGATCAGTGTTGTAAAATGAGTTAATTTTCGGTTCTCATAGAATATTCCCAATAATTATCACTGCATCACCGTTGATTTGCCTGCCCATGGCGAAACAGTTGGATTAAATGAAGAACACTATTCTATTGATAAATTTGTGGATGCGCTCAAACTGGTATTGGACTTTGAAAAACATTTCATTCTATATTTATTTCGTTATGTGAATTCTGTAGTTTTTTGACACAAAAAATCTCACTGATCCTATGTGCATCATTGGTGCATCAATGGGTGGGGCCGTGGTTTCAATGTTCGCTATTAAATACCCAAATTACGTGAGCATGATCTGTTTGCTAGCTCCTCCTGGTAAGTTTCGTACGTTTCCTAGTATACTGCATAGTTCATGTCAATGAGTACATTTAGCTAATGAACAGTGTGAAACCGATTTGATACAACAATTACGTTCAGGTATTTATAGTGCACTCTTACCGGAAACATCTGAACAACTCTATGCTATGATTAATATGCTAACAGTGAAAAAGATTAATTTACCTCGACCATTCTTGAATGGTTTTCTTCATCTAAGGTTACGTCTACTTGACGAACATAAAAGAGGTAGATAAGATTATTATTATTATTTATAAATGAAATTTTGAAATATTTACTTTGGATATTTGAATAGTGCTATCATCACTTCTTGAATATGACTATCCACATCTTGAAGAGTATTATCAAAAACTACGGCAAATGGACAAGCCAGCACTAATTCTTTGGGGACGTCAAGATCGGGTATGCTGACTTGCGTTATTTGCATAATTTCTGAAATATAATTTCTGATTATCTAGGTATACACCGCTGAAGGAGCGGAATATTTTGTCAAATTATTACCAAAAGCAGAAAAACAGGTTTTTGAAGACTGTGGTCATTTTATGGCTATTGATAAACCCGAACAAACGGCAGAAAGTATTCTCACTTTCGTGACTACTCACTCTAACTGTAACATATAATTATTAGAAATGCATAAAATTGACTAAATATTGAACTGTAAGTGTATAGCTTTTGTTTTCTGTTCCTATCATTTTGTTCCAATAAACAATAAATGGTTTGATATTCAGGATGTGGATGTGCATGTGGATGCAGCTTTTCTCTTCTATTATCTACATCCACTGTCATCCATGCCGTCTTTCTGACGATGAATCTCTAAGATTAATAACCATCATCGTTGTCGAGTTATTCAACGAAAAACCGACTTCATTCTATTTTGAAATGAATGATAGTTACCTACTCTTTTGTTTTCAGATATTTTTTTCGAAAATGGGTAGTGTTTCGAGTGTTTCCAAGAGCAAAAAGATGCATCCTAGTCCATTTGAGCTCATGTGGCGTGCAAAACGCGAACGAGCAACATCGTTCACATACGTTCCAGGCCAAGCATCAGATTTTTATTTTTTCTGTCGTAACGGTAAAATACACGAAGTACGTCAAGTACTTGATGCTGAAGACTCACCGTCAATCGAACAATTGAATGAATTGCAACCGAACGGCAGTACAGCATTGCACGCTGCCACATACTACGAACATCTAGATATTGTGAAACTTTTACTGGATCGTAATTGTCCTTGTACACAGCTGAATCGCTTTGGTCGCACTGCCTATGAAGAGGCGCGAAGTCCTGAAATGAAACAATTATTTACACGACCAGATCTTACATGTCGTTTTCATGAGTTAGATGCTGCTCATGCAATTGCTGTCTATTTGCCAGAAGAAAACGATAGAGACTCAGCAGCACATGAGACACAACATTTTGTACAAGTGTTTCAAACAGAAGAAGAAATTTTCCAATATGCTCTCAATCAACAAACAACAGCAATGTGGCTCAAATTTTATAACTGGTTCACGCATACATTTCGTGTATTCATTGAACGCGAAGATTTTCACATTGATCAGTTCGATCTAATGAACCACGGCGATTTTCAACAATTTCTCAAATCCAATCTATCTAATCCAGTACATTATCAATTCACAATTAAATTAATTAATGAGGCTCAAAGACGTAATTCCATCGAACCACTAATTACGTTGTATACTTGTGAAAATGCCGGTTTCTATCGTCCATTAAACCAACAATTGTCTCGTTCAACAACTGATGCTGCAAAGAGTTCTCATTTATGTGATCGATTTATTCTCGAGTTTTTTATTTACCGTCATGAACTCAAACAACGTGCATTTACAGGTACTGTATATCGTGGTGCTACTTTGCCTGAAGCCGACTTGGCTGTCTATGAACAGGCTTGGCTTAGTAATCCGTCGGGTGCCCTCGGTCTCAAAGCATTCACATCGACCTCAACAGATCCACTTGTTGCTTTGAGATACGCAACTTTAAATCCACCAGCTGCTGGTCATAAGAATGTTCTATTTGTTTTTGAGATACAGAAAATAACACCAACTATTTTCGGCATCGAAGACATATCTCGATATATTCAAGAGCATGAAGTGCTCATTCTACCGGGCAACTTATTTATTGTGACGAATATTCAAGAAGACCCAGGTCTCCATGTTATTACAATTAATTTACGCCATTGGCATGTACCAGTAAGCTTTTGGGATAGAATCAAGCAGACATGTCATGCAGGAAGAAAGAGTACGCTCGGAAATACAACACAATTGCACAATAAGAACGCTAACTAGAGAATATATTTCTCATGACTTCACGGATAATTGTATATTTTGTACAGCAGTGCATAGGATCAAAGAATTGGAAAATTCAAGGAAATTCCGACAAATCAAGCAATTGAAGAAACTGAAGGCAATTGAAGGAACTCCAAAAATCTCCAAACAATAAGGGATGAGAAGTCCAATCTACTGTAGAATTATGAAAACTCAAAGGAACTCTGAAAAATGAAGCAATTTAAGAAAATTAAAACAATTCAAGGAATGCAAGGGATTTACGGAGTATGTGGGTCTGAGTGCGAGTCTCAACGCGGGTGTGGGTGTCTTTCTTGCTATACTCACTTTCCACACTCATCCCTTGCACCCACACTCACGCCCACTACCTCTGTGTATCTCTTGAATTCCTTGAATTGCTTGATTTTCCAGAATTTCCTTCAATTTCCATAATTCCGTGTTTAGTGAGACCCTTACCCTTCATTTTTTGTCTGTCGCTTGAAATCGTTGAATTACCTTCAATGTCTTCAATTGTTTCATTTTCATGATTTGCTTGAATTTCCATAACTCTAGCATAGATGAGATCTATAAGTACTCATAGGCTTTATAGAGTTAGAATTGCCAATTCTGAAATCCTAGGGTTATCTCATTTTGTAAATAAAGAAACTATATCAAAATTTTTCAACTTCTCACGTGCTCTCTTTGACTACTAGTCTATTTCGGATGAAGACGGCAAAAAAGACTCGAACAAACTTTTGAGTTAAGTTTGAAAGTTCGATTATATATTTTTCATGTGAAAAGCTATCATCACAGAGTGAGAATGAGGCAGAGTGAATGAATTAACAATAATTGCCACAGAATACGTTTCCTCTCAATTATGAGAAGAATCGTCAGGTACTTAGATATGTAATAGTTTTGATTAGTGTCCAATTGAAATTGGTAAGACATTTTTGAATATAAATATCCTTCAATAGCATTTCGGATATGAACGTCGAGATTGAAGGTGTGGGCGCCGAGTAGATATTCTTTTCAAACTCACACTTAACCCCAATCTTTGTAAACATTTTGGAGCTGAAAACTGTTCAGGGTGTGGATGTGGATCTAAGGTGTGTGTACGAGGAGAACGCAACTTAGACTTCAGATTTGAGAATCCATGAGGTCTCAGAAGTCTTGTGATATCTCATGAAGTGGCACGAAATGCCTTGAAGTCTGATGAAATCTTCTGAATTTTACTGCTTACCCTCGTGGGTATGAGTGTGATGAGCGTTGTGATGAGTGTTGTTTAACAAAATAACTACATCGAAACCCACAACCATGCTTGCTATCCAATCCTGCACGATGTATTCATATAGCATCCGTATTAAGAAATGGAAAAGTGTTAACTAGTGATGGAACGAATAATGTAATACTGTTCTGAATCGTGAAAAATCATATTAGTGATCATCAAAAGATGGACAGTCAGTAATCTTATGCTTACTGGTACATTAACTTATGATTTAAATAATCTGTTGATAAAAATAACCATTAAATTTTAATGACATAGAATCATTTAATTTGATATTTTTGCTAATGAGTTCTCCTAGGTCGTGAGGATAAATTCATTGTCAGATGTTGATGTGCAAATTTTATTCAGAGGAAAAAAATGCAGTTTATGCTTCAATTAGTTTTGAGGGTGTGGGTGTGGGTGTTTGAATAGGGAGAGACAGCATTCTTATCCACACCTACCACAGCCACACCCTCACACCCCTTATTCAAGTATTATTCTTAGCTAAAAATCCGCAGCAGGATTCAAGATACTTTTTACGTGAGAACAGCTTCATATTTCTTTTGGAAAATAATAAATCCTTCTAATATTTGCTATGTATAACTGAAGCAATTAATCCGATTGAGATAAAAGAATAATTTTAAATTTTGTGAAAGAATGAGGGATGCACAAATACAAGTATTATGTATTATAGCAATGAGTCTGTTTGGATATCTAAGAAATTTACGGAATGATATCTTGATGGAACGGATTAATGTAATAATATCCATTTAAATTAGGAATATGGAATTCATTAAAAGAGATCAGTTATGTTCACAAACGCAAACTTATTCTGAAATTAAGTTATTTGCATTTATAATCGATCTCAATTCCAATATGGAAATATTCTTGTTAACGATCAGATTCCAAAAACGTCTTAGAAATTGTGTTTGATCAAGAAAGAAATCTTTTTCCATAAACAATTGTATTGTTGACTCACCAGAAAGTACACTAATTTTATTTTCTAGAGTCTTAATCATATAGAGTTTTCGATCGTAAATGTTACATGTTGAATGTCTAATTGTAAAAATGCATATTTGAAATAAAACAAATTGTAATTGATTTTCGACATAGGGTGTGGGTATTCGTGTGAGTGTGAGTGTGTATGTGAGTGTGTGTGGGTGTGGGTGTTGATGTGAGTGTGTGTGTGGGTGGTGGTGTGGATGTTTCTCTTCTCTACCTACAACTACATCCAGAATCATACTCACATCCATATCCCCCCCACGCATACTCACACCTACACCCACACCCACACCTCAAACCCCCACCCACACTCCACACCTATCCACACACCCATACCCTACACCCATACCCACACTCATTCCTACGCACAACCACACCCAGACCCGCACCCAGACCCGCACCCAGACCCGCACCCACACCCCAATTTATTCATGTAAAGAAAGATGTCATCGATTTGATAAGGTAAAAGTTTTTTAAAAAAAGTCGACACTTCTCTTTTTATAGTCTTTTCATTTTCTCTATCAAAATGTGTTATAGTCTATTAAATTTATTGGAGATAATGATCAAGATTAAATAAAAAGCACAAGGAAGAAAATCTTTGAATATTTTAAAAGATGAACATACAGAAAAAAATGGATAAAAATAATGTTAATACAAATAAAATGGGTTAGAGTAAAGATAAGATTAATAAAATAAGTTAGTTCAATCAACGATAAATAAAAAAGACAAAACAAAAAGTTGACATATTACGTTAAAAAATCAAGCAGCAATTTCAGACAATACAAGAATACAAAAAAAAAGGAAAAACAAGAGTGAAAATGTAGATGGATCATGAATTTAGGTGTTTTTCAAATGATTATGCAATAAGTTCAAAAATATTTTATGCAAAAAAAAGGGAGACTACAATTATTGGTATTTTCTTGAAAAATTCATGTTAAATTAATTCGAAATAAGGGCTTGACATACTTAGAAAAAAAGTAATACATGAATGTTTTTGTCGATTATCTTTAAGATGTAAAGGTTTTCTTCACATATATTTCTCTATATAGTGCTACTGCAGCATCTCCTTGATCACCAGCTGCCTTTCTAAGGACTTCTTCTGTAACATAGTTGGTCAGTAATTCGGCAACCTCGGTTGAATGAATATTTAGAGGCTCACATCGTCCTTTTGTCTCTTTTGCAATTTTTCAAAGTTATCTTTTGCATAATTAGTAAGATAAAGGCATGGACAGGAATATTTTTATTTTTTAAAGTTTCTAACTCATCTTCATAATATGTTGATATAGCAAATCTAGTCGTCTTCCAATAATGTTCACCGAATGAAGCTCGTTTCTTAGCTACATCAATTTTAGTATTCGGTGGAGCATCTCCTATCAAAATAACTTGAGAAATCTCGTCTTGTTTTTCGCTTTCTTTAACTGCATGCCATAATCCTATTTCAATTGCTTCCTCTCCCCATCCACCTTCAGGAACAATTCTGTTCATAAATGCCCTTAAATGACTACCTTTTGTCTGCCAAGATGAAACTTCCAAAATCTTATTCTCTCTAGAATTGTAGTTCCGATATATAGCAAATTGCATTGAGAATGAATCTTTTGATAATCCTTTTCCCTCTAAAATACCTGAAGCCCGCTCGAACATTGTACAAACTGTGTCTTTGGTAGCAGATAATAAATTTGACATAGAGCCTGTTGCATCCATAAGTAGAACTGTACGCGAAATTTCTGAAACTGTGCTCACTCCACCATTTTGTTCAACCAAAAACATTTTGACAGCATCTATGTCTCCTTCAGACAATGCTTTCATAAAATTTCTAGAAGCCTGATGCTCACGTTTACATTGTTCTATGCCAACTTGCTTCGCAGCACATTTACTTTCATATAGCATATTACGACCTCTATCTAAAGTCGCGTAAAGAGTAGAGCCTGTTATAATGGGAATCTGTTCCTTCCAATCGGCGCCAAGAACCCATTCTAAATCGCTATCTAATAATAATATTCTGTATGAACCACGATCTCCTTGTCGTGCTCCTCTTCCCATTATTTGATATTCTTCTGACAGTTCTTCGGAAAAAAATGTTTGCAATACATGAATACCGCCATTAGCTAACACTTGTTGATTTCGACATATGAAATCAGTTCCACGTCCAAATATTCTAGTCAATAGCGTAACTCTACCATCAGTTGCTGCACGTTTAACACATAGTTCTCTTTCTTTGGTTGAAACTTTCTCAGTAATAATTTGCACATTGTGTTTTAAGGATAATAATTCAGGAGAATCGTAAAATGCTAGTAACTTTTCTTCTGATTCGAAAAATACAAGAATAGGACGTTGTGCACTGCGCATCGTATCAATTTCTCCACGAATTCTCATAAAATATTCTGATACATTCACTACCTGTACATCATTAGCAGAATTGTAATTACGGTTACTTTTTCCAAAAACTGATGGCATGTAAGTGTTCTTATCTATGTGATAAATCATTTTCAAAATATTTTTTTCTGACTCAGCAAGTGTTTTCAGAGTACCAGTGACTCCTGTGATGTAAGCAAATTCATGAGGCATTTCAGCGTAAGAAAATGTTCCACAATTAATGATAATGCCTACATTTGTTTCCAAACTATTTTGACTAATAAAACCATTTTCATTCTCATAATAATATGCCCAAATTGTATCATAACCATGAACTACATTTTCTACAACGGATTCACCTTCAACATAGACAATTTTATCATTTAGTACAATATATGTTGATGACTGAAATGATTTTAAAGCAGCCAACATATCTTTGATGGCTTCATCGAAAAGAAAACTCCAATTACTAAATCGAGTAGCACAAGCGTTGTATGCTGGCAAAGCTTTGACAGCTCTCAATGTACGTAAATTTCTATTTTTCCATAATGCGTCTAACAAACTTTTTATCAATGGATCCTTTAAATATGCCGAAGGTATATACATTCCGCTATAATATTTTTCACTTAGAAAAACATCTACTTCATCAATCAACAACACTTTTGGACGAATACGTGTAGTCCTTTGAATTACATCTATTACATTCTTATTATTCATGATCATATCATGCACTTTTTCTCGTATATTACATTGCTCATTCAAGAAGTTTTCACACAATTTATTGAAAGTTCCATACTGAATGCGTTCTTCGATTCCAAGCGCTCGAAATACTGGAGCAAAATCATTCTTATCTCGCATACTTAAATATTCACTGTAGCATGAACAATCAACATCGATTCCAACGAGAGCAAAAACACAGGCAGTCATTGCCATAACTACCGATTTTCCTTCACCTGTCCCTATCTGTACTAAATTATTTATCAAATCATCTGATATTCTTTTTATGTAAGGTACTTTATACCCTAACAATGTCGAATTCTTTTTGTATCCAATACCAAGAATACGAAAAATAGAAATAACTTGTGCAACATGTGGCATTAATAGATAAGCATTTGCTGCATCAATACCACGCATGGCATTATAATGTTGAGTATTTTTTAGAGTCCATACAGCAAAAATATGTGCTAATAATTCAGGAATCTTATCTCGAAAGGAATGATCCCAAGTAACTTCAGTCGCTTTATGAGCTACTGTTCCAAGAAGAATCTTTGTTTGTGTAATTAATACTTCTATATCTGGTTCTGTCTCAGTCTGTGGATTAAACGATCCTAAAATTTTCGATATCAATTCATCATACATTCGTCTGAAAGCTTTATAGCGCGAACGCAGAACATCTGTAGCAAGATCATCTCCTTCCAACTCGTCTATAACATAGTTCAGATCATCTTGCTTTTGCATTTTTTCACGTCGTTTTCTCCAATCTTCTCCGCTTAAACACGAATGTTCAGCAATTAATCGAGAACCTATATCGGTTGTCTCTAATATCATAGTTAATTGTGAAAGAATCAAAGGACCCTGTTGTGTTCTATACGATTTTAGAACTTCATCTATTATTCCATTGATTTTAGTGTCAAACATCGAAAAATTTTCAGCAAAAAATTTTATCTTTTTAAGCAATTCAGCGATTTTTTTAACATCGCCGACTGAACTTGTAATATCTTTAGATAAAGATGTGACTTTTTCGAAAATTTTTGCTTCTGCTAATTCTAAACAATGTCGAATTTCCGCTTGTGGAAGACGTATATATTTATCAAATGATACAAGATAATTGTAATACATACGAAAATAATCTGTTTCTAACGGTGAATGTCCATCTTTTGATGCATACACAAGAAGTTTGTTCTTAATATCTTCGACTTTTTCTTTGAGTTCGTCCTCTATTTTTTCAATATTTGGTATTGATAATGATAAAGTATTTTTAAATTCTGAACTAATCAATTTCAATACTCTAAGAGACATCGCAAGATTACTAAAAAATTGATCACGCATTGCTTCAAATCGTGTCCTTTGATCACTAATGAGTTCAACATCTAAATTTTGTTTCAAATCAATTATCTTTTTCTCTAATTCAGAAATGATTTTCGAATAAGATTTTATATTTCTCATGTTGTTTAAAAATGGTTGTATTAAACTATCTGGATAAGAGTAAGTTCTAACTTTTTCTAAAAATCCAGCCCAACGTTCCATTTTACACATTACTTCATGTAGGGACTTAATATTCAGCTCGGTCATAGCAGTTTGACATACATTAGAAATATTATTCCAATTATCGTACAAATTCTTGAGTCCGATTTCTACATTTTGCAACACAGATTCGGGTAGTAATTCGCAAGTTCTTTTAGAAAAATCTCTACTAAGCTCAATATA